ACTCAAAATACATAAATGTTACAATCTTTCCAGCGGTAACTGTACGTGTACATCTATTGAATAAGTTTCATACATAAAGTATCTGGGCGTTATGGTGGATCAACGACCTTCCTAGTACAAACATGTCGAATTAGTGTCTAGTAGAATTCGAAAACTCACTTGGATATTTAAAACTATATTGTTGATATTGTTGCGCGAATAAGTCGACGTCATGTTTCCGGCACTAGCGCCATCTAGTGTCAGGGACGAGAGCGAGGGGAGCTTTCCAGAAAATGACATCACTAATCTTTCAACCGACAGCGCCATCTAGTCTCGGAACGAAGAACTAAGAAATAAAGTGAATCAGTGTGATTAATTATTAGTGTTTTAAGTTTTAATTGGTGTAAAGAAAATTCGTGTTAATTTAGATAATTCTAGCGGCAATTTTTATTGTCACGAACCTCAAGCTCGTAACAATATGTTGCTTGTCCAAACTTTTAAATCAAATTTATGTAGCGCTTGCTCAAACTATAACAATATATTGTATACCTTTTGGGGGGGGGGGTATTTATAAAAGTAAATTTATTGAAGTTGAGAGAGCTCAAACATGTTTATTGAAAGTTATACATTTTAAGCCATATAGGTTCTCTACTAGCATTTTGTATTCATCTTGTGGGGTGATTTCGGTGAGGCAGTTGTACATATTACTCACTTTGTTAAAAAAACATAAGTCTTTGTCTTTTAATCCTACTTACGGTAGTAAAAGAAGAAATTATAGCGTAGTTCCTATGTGCAGTACGAAAACCAACTTTGCGAAAAATCTATGAAAAACAATCGGAACACTTATGTAATCAAATTAAAAAACACACGCACACGCACACCCTAACACTGTTTCTCTTATGTTAAATGTACTTAGTTAAGGAAGGGCGAGGGCCTTCTACCACAAGTATCTTTATACTTAAAAGAAGTCCTCAAACTCGTACTAATTTTAAGAAAATGTTGGAAACAATAAACTTTCATTTCAAAAAAAAAATATTATTGGATTATCAGAGGTCCGAAGAGAGGGGGAAGGCCACGGTAATCCTCAAGTCCGGCAACTTGTTCTATCACCGGGAAGGCGACCATCTGTCCCAAGAAGGTGTCTGATTTATCGTCCACAAGTCTCTCGTCAACAACGTTGTAAAGATTGGGAGTGTGTCGACGAGGGTCGCGTACCTGATACTCAGAATCTCCAAACGGCATTCGCTGAAGGTCATACAGGTTTACGCACCAACCTCAGCACATCCTGATAAGGAGGTGGAGGAAATGTATGAGGATATTTTCAGAGCCACGCATTCCTCCAAAACCCACTACACGGTGTTGATGGGAGACTTCAACGCAAAACTAGGCACAAGAGAAAACGATGAGCTGAAGTTAGGGAAATTTGGAGTTGGGAACGGAACCGAAGGGGCCAGCAGCTGGCCGACTTTATGGAGAAAGAGGGACTCTATATGATGAACTTCCAGAAGCGGTCCCACAGGAGGTGGACCTGGTCGAGCCCCGACGGTTCGACAAAAAATGAGATTGACTTCATTATGACGACCAGACGCCAACTGTTCAGTAATGTCGCAGTGATCGCAAGGGTGAAAACTGGCAGCGATCACCGAATGATTAGAGGCACACTGAACCTAAACGTTAATTTGGAGAGGTCTCGTCTAATGAAGTCAACGCTCCGTGCCCCTCGTGCTCTAATCCAGAATCCCGTAACCTTTCAGCTCGAGTTACGTAACCGCTTTCGTTGCCTAGAGGATTGCAATGAAGTGGACTATATGAATGACAAGCTCGTGGAAACTGTCCATGCGGTCGGAGCTAAGTTCTGCAAGACCCGCCGAAGAAGAACACAAAAACTCTCCGATCACACTCTTAATCTCATGTCTGTTAGACGGGAGATGAGGCTGCAATCGTCAACAGATTTTACAGCATACAGGCAACTGAACAGACAGATCTCCAAATGCATGCGGCGAGACTTGCGCAACTTTAATACTGCTCGTATTGAAGAAGTGATCGAGCGGAACCAGGGCTCCAAAGGCTTTTCTAGAGATCTGTCAGACAGTAAAAGCCAACTGTCAAAGCTGAAGACTGTCTGTGGCGGCATCGTTTCCGGGACATCTGAGATTATAAGTGAGATAGAGAGGTTCTATGGGCAGCTGTACACATCATCGTTGGAGCCACACGCAAGTGTAATTAACGATCCAAGAGCAAGTCTCATCCGACGAGCGGTCAAACCGTGCTGGTTAGACGTCGAGCGTTACACAATAGTTGTGGCGCGACTCCCGGGTCGATTTAGAGGTCGCGAGTTTGATATAATTTTGCGTCGAAAGGACGGCCTCCATGGAGTTGTATTTTGTCGTTAATATACGTGACAACGAGGCTTATTCTTGTGTTTATTTGCGCGAAGCACGGGTCGATTATACGTCGCGAGCCTCTTACAGTGTTATCTTAATTTGTTTTCGTGATAACGAGGCCGGAATCATATAATTGTTGTAACCGTTTTAAGTATTGTTTGTGACTGGTATACGTTTGCGCGCGGCCGGTGTTGGACTTGAAGGCCTAAAGCTTGTGTTAATTGTGCGCGCCATTTTGAATTACTATTGAACATTTGGGTCTAACTAGACCGCCTCTAATTTAGTTGTCTGTTTTGAACGTGTTACGTGTCAAGCGCCCTACTTGGAATTTGGAGTGATTAAAGGACCTTTTATGCCGTTAATTGCATCGACGAGTTATTAGTGCGTCGGTTGATAGCGTGATTAGACTTTTACTTTGTCGGGAGAACGCTGAGCTCTGGGCCTCTAGAGAAGACCGCGTTCTTCTCGTGGTTGTAGTTTTGTGCTGAGTGAATCTGGGACTTTGTACTTTGACCGACCGTCCTAGGTTGTGCAGCGTGTCACTTGTTTTAATGTCGATTGACGTTGATTTGGTTGAATTTGAAGTTAATTAAATGTACAATAAAGTTGATTGACTAATATAGTGTGAATGGAAGTGGAGGTTTTCAATTGGTGAATGCCCCCTTGGATGGATCCCACATTTGGATCATCACTTCCCACCTGACAGGTACCTCGTGGTTAACTCTACCTCCGCCCATCGGTAAGTGGTGCTTGCTTCTTTGTTAGCCGTTATAATTTAGTTATCCATAGGTCATTGGACACTCCCCTCTGTTACTCGTCGAGTTGGACTACTGTGGGCCCAAGTCCGGTCGACTTTGTCGGGGTAACTCAGGGCCGTAACGCCGACACAATTCCGATGATATCCCAGACGTCAGTCTGAGTGAGATTAGAATGGCTCTCCAGCACCTTAAAAACGGCAAGTCCCCGGGCGAGGATGGAATTACAGCGGAGCTTCTGAAAGCGGGTGGAAAACCGGTACTTGAAGTCCTTCAGAGGCTCTTTAATTCCGTCCTCCATGGTGGCACTACTCCGGAGGCGTGGAGCAGAAGTGGTCTTGTTCTTCAAGAAAAGTGACAACGCCCTCTTGAAGAACTACAGACCGATATCCCTTCTGAGCCGCGTCAACGTACTGTTTTCGAGAGTCATTACGAATCGTATCGCACGCAGACTCGACGACTTCCAGCCTCCCGAATAAGCCGGTTTCCGAAAAACCATACATAGCATACCCTTCGGCAAATTGTACAGAAATCCAAAGAGTACAATCTGCCACTTTGCCTGGCGTATGTGGACTATGAGAAAGCCTTTGATTCCGTCGAAATTTGGGCGGTGCTACAGTCTCTTCAGCGGTGCCATGTTGACTGTCGGTATATCGAGGTGCTGAAGTGTTTGTACAGTAGGGCTACGATGGCTATCCGAGTACAGAACCAGAGTACGAAACGTTTATTTCCGTTATTTCCCCGAAACTCTTCACCACTGCATTGAAACACGTTTTCAAGCTACTGGACTGGAAAGGATACAGTATTAACATCAATGGCGAGTACATTACTCACCTTCGACTTGCCGACGATATAATCCTTATGGCACAGTCGCTGGAGGAGTTAAGCACTATGCTCAATGACCTCAATGGTTCCTCCCAACGGATAGGTCTTAAGATGAACATGGACAAAACAAAGATCATGTTTAATGTCCTTGTCACACCTATGTCCGCATTTGTTGTGAGAACTAAGCTCGAAGTTGTTGAGTACGTTTACCTGGGATAAATAGTCCGACTAGGTAAGTCCAACTTCGATCGAGAGGTCAGTCGACGAATTCAACTCGGCTGGGCAGCGTTCGGGAAATTACGACGCATCTTCTCGCCAGTTATACCTCAAAACCTGAAAACTAAGTTGTACAACCAGTGCGTGTAGCCAGTGATGACCTACGGAACCGAGACGTGGTCCTTCACTGCTGGCCGTATGAGGACGCTCAAAGTCGCTCAGCGAGCTATGGAAAGGGCTATGCTCGGAGTTTCTCTGCGTGATAAACTTAGAAATGCACTGCGGATATTCTCCGCAGTAGAATCAGAGTGACAGACATAGCCCACCGGATTAGTTAGCTGAAGTGGCAATGGGCCGGCCATATAGCTCGAAGAACCGACAACCGTTGGGGAAAAAAGGTTCTCGAGTGGCAACCTCGTACCTGTAGGTGAAGTGTAGGGCGACCCCCCCCCCCCACTAGATGGAGTGATGACCTGGTAAGACATGCAGGAAGTCGATGGATGCAGGTGGCTCAGGACCGTGCTTTGTGGCATACCTTGGGGGAGGCCTATGTTCAGCAGTGGACTTATGAAGGGCTGTAATGATGATGATGATGATGATGATACGACTATATGCTCATTAAAGACGAGAAATATATGACTTTATGTTCATCAAAGACAATCAAAGACTTTTAGTTATCTTAAATCTAAATAACGCTACATTAATAAATAGATGGCGGATTAGATTACCCAGGTGAAGCTGGGGAGAGTCCCCTAGCCTTCAATTAATGTTTAAAACTAACTCTTCTCTCAAAATGTTTGTGTATTCATTTCTTTTGGTACTAAATGTGTTTGGATTGTAGCTGGTGTTGCCCGCTGGGCAAGTGGAGATTGTGACGACTGGCCACTTGGAAGACTTCGAGGACGCCGCGCTCATACCGCGCGAGGACATCGAGCGAATTAATGAACTCATTCTAGTGAGTTATTCACAGAGTGCATAAAACATAAAAAGTAAAGTTACAGTCTATATACATCCTACAGCTGGGCACAGGCCTGGCAGTGGGATGTATATAGTATATCTATTCTCTTCTCACTACTGAGAGGGTTTTAGGACAAGGAAGTGTCCGACGCGCTGCCCCAATGCGTGTTGACGTACTTCACATGATGTCTTCGGAATATTTAGTGTGTAAGTGTAAACACCGTTGTCACTGAAACCATAGGTAGTTGGCTTTAATATAAAAATATTTATCCGATTTTTAAAAAAAACGCTATTTTCTTTCATAAAATTAAAATAGTTTCTGTCCGACACCATCCGTAAATTCATGGATACCCTATGCGCCCGAGTAACGTAATCACTGTAAAGATCACCGCCCGCCCTTGCTACCTACACAACATTTCAATAAAAATACAATGGTACACATAACCTATGATGTAACTTTTCCTTCATACTTTTATACTGGCTTAGGACAGTCAAAAATTCCTATCCCTTGTATTGCGTGACGAGTCCAAATTAATTTAAGTTAGATTTAACCACAAAGAAAATTAAACATTAATAATAGTAAATCATTAGGTAGGATTTTTGGCGTATTTAAAAGGTTAATCATAATGTTATGCACACACGGCTCACAATAAGCTATGCAAATCCAATGGGTAGCTCGCCGTCCAATCAAGGATCCGGGGTCCCCGGACTGTCTTAGCAGGATACCGCGGTCCTGGAATGCAAAGGGCATTTGAAGCATAAGCTGACCGTTCATTGTACGGAAAGATTGTACAAAGCGAGGCCAAGACAAACTGGTTTTGTATAGCTTGATGTGTAGCCTGATTGATAGATTATTTACACTTACCTATTAAATAAAATCCTTGTAAATGAATCCCATTTTGATCAGCTTTTACATTAATCGTAAAAGCTGTTCAAAATGGGATCCATTTACAGCCACGCATGCTTCCGCACGTTTCCGTAGATTGTTACGCACTCTAGGAAGCACAACAGTGTCATTTTTTAAGTCTCGAAACACACTAAGAATTCGCCTTTTGAGTTCCGACGTATTACGGAACTTAGTTGCATACACTCGGCGCTTCACTTCTCCCCAAAGATAAAAGTCCAGCGGGGTAAGGTCGGGCGAACGCGTTGGCCACGCCACTGGCCCTCCACGTCATATCCATCGCCCTGAAAATGTGCAGGGGCACCGTCATGTTGGTAGTAGAGGTTTCTCAGTGAACAAAGAGGCACATTTTCCAACATCCTGTCGAATAAATGTCCTAAAATAGCCATGTACGACTGTGCATTCAAGTGGCCGTCAATAAAATAAGGTCCAAGAAGTTTGCCGTCTAGAATTTCCGCCCACACGTTTACGGAAAAACGGTGCTGATAACTGTTTTGCCGTATTCGGTGTTCGTTTACCCGACTCCAGTAATGTTCATTACGAACATTGTAAATGCCCGACCTTGTAAACACTGCTTCATCCGTAAATAAAATGGAAACGTTATCAAAGTTTTGAATAAGCCATTGCGAAAATACCACCCGCGGTATGTGGTCGTTTTCATTTAACTCTTGAAGCGGCTGAAAATGATACGGATGTTGGCGATCAATGTGTAAAATTTTCCAAATTATCCAGTGAGAAACACCGAAAATACAGCCCGCCCGCCTGGTACCCTCATCTGGGTTCTCCGCGAAGAAATCCAAGATACGTTCTTGACGGGTAACTGGCAGCTGCTGGTTGCCACGCCACTGGGCATGAACCGGCACGGTAAACTGTCCATAGCTACGTAACCTTTGCGTTGCCGCCAACAAAGTTTCACGATTTGGCACAGGTTGTCCAGGGAATGATTCTGCGTACATTCGTCGAGCCTCGTTCACATTGTCACCAGCTACGGCATAAAGTCGGACCATTTCGGTCCACTGTACGTTTGTGTACGACATAATTACAAACTAAAACACACTCGCACAAAACTACAACTAGGTACCTAAAACACAAATAAGCGGCGTTGGATATCGGCACGGCGCGCGGCGCGGTTGTAAATCAAATAAATTTACACGTGCATTCTCTACCGAAGCACCGATCGACTGACACACTAAAACAGTGACGCTATGGACTGTGGGCTGATGGCCTTATACCGCTCAGCTGCGCGCGAGATCCCGCGCGAATAGCTGCCGCTACGATATGTTGACTGGAATTTTATATGCCTATTTATATGCCTAGGGTGAAATAATTGTAAGGAAAAATTGAGATTTGACTTAAAAAAAAATGTTATTTTTCATTGAATTTACGTTCTATAAGTGAAACCAAACCACTGGTTTCAAGGATAACGGTGTTTACACTAACATTGTATTTTTTATTTCTCAGACTTGCACTTTGTTTTCCTTCACCGCTGAGCACGTGGTAAATCAGCTTTTAAAATTGTAATCTGTAACAATTTCATTGTTGCTGTCGGGGTTCGAACCTAGGTAGCTCACGTACTGTGAAATTTAAAGCGAGAGCTAAGCCCCTGAGCTATTATAGCTCTTTTAAGCGATTTAATAGATTTTTTTTATTGATTTTAGAAATTCATTCCTGGATTTTATCGCATTCAATTAACTTGATTTTAGAACATTACGTTTTTTAATTATTTTTAGTTCAAGGGAATAGCTTTTCAATGAGACTCTTCGAACACTAAACAACACTCATATTCTCGTGCGATTTCGAGATTTTTCTTATTAGAATAAGGGTGACAAACGAGCATACAGTCCACCTGATGGTAAGTAGGTGCTGTGGTCCTTAGACATATATACTTATCCTCATTTCAGAATCAAAATGCGGATGCGTTATCACCCCTGACGGCTGAATTCCATCTCAGCATTGTCACACCTGAGGACTTAGACGGAATGCCTCGTTTTTTAGTAAATAGGATCTCCGGTTCTCTACAATCGTCGCAGGAAATATAGCAGCATTACGCAGTTATTTTACGCTGGTGTGAGAGCGTGGTCAGTTCACCTTTTAGTGCTACAGCTGTAAATAGCTGCAGCGTGCCTTTACCACGAAAATAAGTTAAAAATAAACACGATAACATTAGCGAAATTATTTTTGTCCAATGTGGAAATAATGTCGACGCTAATCAAGTTGTGAAAACAACTTTTTAAAGAAAAAAACCTACCTATTTCTAATAGTGGACTATAAAGTATAATGAAGAAGAAAAGAGAAGATTTAGTTATTCACAACGACTGTTTTCCTGTTGCCCGAAAAGGTTATGCGGCAACTAATGTTTTAGTGCAGATATCAAGACTGTCTTCTAATGTAATCTATAATATGTACCTTCTATTTTATGCCAATATTTTGTGCAAATACTTGATTGCTGTCCCACCCGAAGATAAGTAGTGATGCAGCCATAAATGGTAAAGCGCACTTACTTAGCGTTTTATTCACTGTTTTTTTTTTTTGTTTCACACCCAAAGTGCATTCGAAATAAAAGTTAAAGCTGGCAAACTATTTCTATCTTCTATACAGAAAGTGGGCAATATGAAGCTCAACATGATGCGTAAGCAGATGGAGTACCGCAAGGGCATCCTGTCCAAAGAGTGGGAGCACGCACAGATGAAAATGAAGCTGCGCCACATGGAGCAAGAACTTTACTCCTATCAACGCCTCAAGGTTTGGGCTTATAAACCATTTGTTAATATTTTCCCACAAATTAATCTGTGTATTTTCCACACTAAGTGCCGATTTCACCAACGACGTCGTTGTCTAAGATTAACTAACCCGAGAATAAAGATATTCCGTACTTTTACTCTCAGATAACTTACTGTACATTTCACCATGCAAAACAACAGATTAGTTTGCCTCAGATTAACTATTCTTTCGAATAACGGTTTTACTTATCTGTGGAAGACTATTTGAATGAGCAGCAAGTGAATGATTGTATAAAAACTCCCTTTGATTTCGCCGAATTTCCCGTTGAGTATTCGGAAATTTTATGTACTCGTGGTTCAATGACGCTATCGCAGCACTAACACTATGTATTATTCTGTGTGCTGTAGGTGTGCTGAGCCCACTAAAATCACCGATTGTTAATTGTGAATTATTCGAAGCATAAAACCTTAGTGTTGCCAAAAGCTGATTAATCGGCGAAATTGATTGATTCCTTTAAACCAAAACAGTTTTATTTTAGTGCAAATAATTGCCGTATTATGTACCTACGAACAGTATAAATAGGTACAAAGATGCACCTCTCAGATATAAATTCCAAATGATTAATTTTGATCAAAAATTATGAGCTGCTGATTTAGATAACCGAAATCTTATACTAAAGTCTTCGTCATCACAGTCATAAAAATAATTATTCCTTTCTTTTATCCACCTTGGACGTTTTACAACATAATATGTTTCATCATTACTATCATCACTGTCACTGTTGTTAATCATTCTTCTCAAACGTTGCATTATGTATAGCTATATACTCTCTCTAAAAATTTATATCAAACAGCAATTCAGGAACGAGAAACGTGGACGTACGCGACAGACTATTAAAAATTTCAAATAATTAACAGCTGACAGCCTGTCGGCCATTTTTAACCGAAGAATAACTCCGTAATCCTTCAAAATCGGGAGTATAAATCTTATCTCTTGGTTAACTATTTATTCTTGGGTTAAATTGTTGGTGAAATGTAAAATTTGATATCCTAGAATAACTTATATCATTACTCTTGGAATAAAACTTATCTGAGTTTGGTGAAATCGGCCCTAAATCTAAGTGTTTGGCTGCGATGTTGCGGTTCTTAGGTTCGAATCCCGCACTAAACAAATATTTGTGCGGCCTACAAACAACTGTTTCTGAGTGTTTGTCCTTCTACATTCAAAAAGCCTTCATGGTACGGGATGAAATCTTAATATAATCCTTAGTAACGTTATTAATTGTGTTTCATATAAATATTCTACCTCTCCCATAATTAGGATTAGAAAAAGTTCGAGAATAAGAAACCTCCTTAAACGATTATGAGGAAACCATTTATTATTATAAAAATATAGCAGTCTATGTAAAAATCTATTTATTCATTTTCAAACAAACTATTCTTACTACGATCTTCAACTTTTCCATCAAAAGGCGTATAGTAGGTAAGACTTTTTTTTTAATAAAATTGAATTGACACACAAACTTAGTCATGGTAACTGGCAACTAAAGCCCATCGACACCTGCAGCCACCAAAAACCCCAACTCACACATTTAATTCTACATGCTGTGAGTGAGAAGCGGCGATACGAGTATATGCTCTTCTTTGGCCGGCTCGCGCGCAATGTTATTGTACGATATTTATTTGATATTTCTTTTTAAAATGAATTATACTCCTTTATTGGAAAATAAACCCATAATCTCCCTATGTAGGCAGAATTTAATTGAAATTAATTTGATTACATTCGAATGAAACTACCGTACACCTTAAATAGTAAATTTTGAGAAAACTTGGCGATCTTTTTGTTTCGAGCCAAAAAGTGTCAATTGTGTTTTGGCCATTATAATTCACTAAGGAAATCTTTAACTTTCATAATAATTTTTAAAGAAAAGGTGCATTTTCTGCGTACCTATAAAGCGTGAAATATTTGCTTTTGATGCCCATTTCACCTTAAGACCAGAGCACAGCAGTACAGATACTGCTATTTAGCGGCAGAAATATGTAGAAGGGTGGTAGCTACCAAGACGAACTCTTCGACAGAAAAGAAGTCCTATTCTAGTATATCTAGTAAATATATGAACTTAAAAAATATTAATATATGAACCAAAAATAATGTTTTAAAATAACATTTAAAACACTATCATATGTTTATGAGATGATCACTGCAGTAATAAGATCTAATTTTTTTATAATTTAAATTGTGTAATGTAAAATGAAATTTGAATATGCACTTCGGAACAATTTCAATTCTGAACTAGGTTTTTTTATATAGGAGAGGGGACCAGCGAGCATACGGCTCACCTGATGTTAACTGACTACCGCCGCTCACGAACAGGTGCAACACCAGGGTAATTGCCGGTGCGTTGTCGGCCTTTTAGAAAGGAGTAAGCTCTTTTCTTGAAGGTCCCGAAGTCGAATCAGTCCGGAAAAATCACCGGTGGTAAACTATTTCACAGGAAAAACGACGACGTATGACCCCCCATACGTCGTCGTCGTTTTCCTCTTAGACGTTGTTTTATTTTCAAAACAAATTTTTCAAACAAAAAAGAAAATAAGTTATATATATTCTTTATAGATCCCCAAAGAACTTCAACTGCATCTGAAAAATAAGGAACTGGGTTATACAGAGGAGCATGAGTTCATGAGGATGGAGAAGGAGACTGAGGCGACGAAGGTTTCTGTGAACAAGATGCTTGGTGACCAGGTGCGCAGAGTCGAAGAGCTTGAGGTAATACGTTTGACTAATTCTTATAGCTTTTATAACATTACATAAAATATGCTAAAGTAAAGTTTAATAGGAAAAATCCAAAAGAATCTATAATAATAAAGCGCACATGACGTTTTTTGGCCGACTTTAAAAATATGAAGTTTAGAAATTCACATTTAAGTCGATTTTTTACGCAGTTTTTTTTAATTCTTCGGTAGTCTACGCAATCGTTCCATATACAACCACTTCAGATGATAATAATTGAGGTAATTTTTTTTAAACTGTCTAATTTTTCCATTCAGTCTTTTGAATAATAGTAAAGTCTGTATTATGTTATATGCTTACTTTCATTTCTGAGAAATTACTATGACATTAATGTTCTCCAGGTCGAATGTCGGTCACGGCGGCCAGTCTCAACGGATACTAGCCAATATCCATGTGCGAATGACGGGAACAGATAAAGTGCCAGAGTGTTTGCGCCAACTCAGGTGCACTCTCTATTCCCTCATTCTCATAATCCGATGGGACAGCAACGCGACACGACCGAAGGTTTCAGGCGCAGGACCAACGGCGTTACGTGCTTTCCGAGGCACGGAGTTGGAATACAGCCAATTTCCTGACGCCAGGCTGCTATTGAGAATTTTTATATGACAAAAAACTCAATGACTATTTTTTTGTTCCGACTAGGGATCCGGAATCCGGGGCCTCATGATTAACAGTCACGTTTACGACTACTAGACCAACAAGGAACTCAAGGGACTGATTATAAGATAGAGGATAGTCGTGTTGGCGGGCTTCACATATTATCTTTGAAATATTTTATTCCTCAGACATGCAGGATTCCTCACTATCAGCACATAAAACTGTAATTAACAATTTCAATGGTACCAGCGAGAATCGAATCGACCCCTGTTCCTCGCGTGACGTAAAATTCGCGGTTACTATAGTAAGCTATAGGAGAGGACCATCCAACAGATATATTGTTGTTGATCCTTCCAACTGTGTGACTGTTGTGATCTCAGAGCAACAGAATCTAGTATAAAGTGGAATAGGAAGAAAAAAAAGAGAAAATGGTTTTATATCGTGGATTTGTTTCAGTTGAAATGCGCGACGCTAACGGCGGAAGCGGACAAACTAGAGAAGATAATAAGCAACCTCAATATGAAGGTGTCGGAGAAACGTCTTAACGAAGACCCCTTGCAACCGATACGTGTACGAAAGATTTTTAAAACGAGGTTAGTAAAGTTACGCTGTGCAGTATGTTTCACTACGAGGAGCATTTCTACCCTTTTTGATGTGCAACATCTATTGGCATGCCGTGGCAGTAAGAACGACTCGTGTGCCGTGACGCTATCGCTCGCTATGGGGCAATTTATGGACGAGGCTTACGTTCGACAGTGGCCTTTTGTAGGTTGTGATGAATGAAGTACATATATTGCAACACAACTTGGGATAGTTTTTATCCCGATAAGTTATCTTTAATAATATTTATTGTGAATTTAAGGTTTTTTTTATAGGAAAGAGGTCGTCGGAAAGAGCAGAACATCTACCTGGCCAGTTAGTATTTTATAGATATAGTTAATTCAATACTGATGACCGTGTAGTGCCGGTGTTATAATATAATATATAAATACACTACCCCATATCATCCCATGGTAGTCGTAAGGGGCGACAGAGAGAAACCGAGCAGAAGACTGACAGCAAAGTCTTTTTTGAAATAACTAGAAAATAAAAAACTATGGTTACCAAACTCTGGCCTGCCAAACGTGGCAACTATATCAATTAGTTTCTTTTAGGCAGTCTATGGAGGTGACCTATGTTCAGCAGTGGACATTTTATAGGCTGTAATGATAATGATGATGATGGTGAGCACCACGTTGCAGCGTATTATATTTGCAGCAATAATAGTTCGGTTCGATTCGGGAACGACCACGCACAGAACCATTTATTGCCGTCCGTAACTCCTTTCCATCCTTCCTTGTAACTGACACGTCTTTTAGAAATATCCGAACTCAAAATAAAGCAGCAACCAGTACGAATTTCGATTTTACGTCCCTATCCCATTTGTCCACACTATGGACAAATCCTCCCAGTTATGTCTATACGCAGCAGTGGCTTAAAAATGGTGAATATTATTCCACTGATTAATTCACATACCAGCATACTGCTTATCCCCGGATATATTTATGTGAGAGATAAGGCTAATTAACAAATTTCTCATAATATTATAGTCTAGCTCTTAAGTTCTGAGTTTGACGGTTGTCAAAAGGTTACTTTCAATTTCAGTATTAAGGAATCTAAAATAGTTGTGAGAGTTAACTTTAAAAATGACATAAATTAATTTTAATGCTTTTTCTCTTTCCTATAAATGATAACTAATAATAAACTAATACTTATTTTAGTAAACTAGAATGAAGTAAGAACAAGTTTAAGTTAAGTTTGTGTTGATTTCAGCTAATAAAATAATCCATTTTAAAAGTTTTAATTCCCCACAAAACAGTACATAGTACACAATGTGACCTTCGTTTTAGAATGGAGACCCTGGTGGCGAGGAGTCAACTGATCCGCGAGGTACAAGCCAACCACACCAGGATCGTGCTGCTGCAGACGGAGCTGGAACTGCTGCGCCTAAAGACCTATCCTACGCTCGCCACTTTTCGCACCGTACCCTGAATATCCTGTATTTTAATTTTCTCTTAGTTCCATATTTACAAACTCAACACTGAATATTTTGTCTTTGGTGAGGCCTTAAGTTCATTAAGCTATTGTAATTCAACTTTTAAAATAAATTAGCTTTTAATAAGTCTTTCATTTAATATTTTAGATCCAGTATCAATTTTTCGACCAGTACATATAACAGCCTGGTTTTAATTTTTTATAATATAAGAGTAACAAACGAGTTGAAAATAATTCACCTGGTAGAAAATCGCTCTTGCAGCCCGTTAACACCTGCAACCAACTTCAAATAAAAAGTCTACAGATGCGTTGTCACCTATAGGGAGGACTATGTTGAAATGCATTTCAGTGTCAGCTTGTGCTCTAGCTCGTTAAAATGGAACACTGACGTGTTCCATTATAAAGAGCTTGCTTTGTGGAGGTGTCGATTCTCCAAAACACGGATTTAAAAAAAGAAAATTTGGATTTAAAAAAGGGATCTATGCTCTCAAAATGTATAATAGATATCTTAGTGGTTTATTCAACTGTTAAAAGTAGGATGCGATACAAAAAGCACGCACATAGCTATCAATGATTCTTCCTGCTGCACATAATTATTCGTAAGGCACGTCAGGGTAATATGGTCAGCTTAAGCTTTGCCACCCTGTAGAACCAAAACTTGAGGAGGAGGACAGAGACAAAAAAACAAAATCATATACTATAACTAATATATTAAGAAAACAACAGCAAAAAAGCTTTGGCAATAATTAGAAACACTTCGAAAAATCATCTTAAAAACCTAACTAGGCTAAACAATACAAAAATTGACTAAAATATTTACTTTGATTTCAAGTGTCAAAATGGCGTCGATAAAGCAATGCCATTTTGAACCTTTATTATTTGGTTAACTGATGAAGAGCTAATCTATCACAGATCCGTCTATGCAAATAAGGTTTTAGTTTTTGAGTTAAAAGAAAGTGACCATATTAACCTGATGACCATATTACCCTCACGTACTATATTTCACATCGTATACATATGATATGTCGCCGTATAGTGACTTCTTAAGAAAATGCACCACCCTGTATCATCCTGTTGGTGTGATCAGAGCTCAGGGAAATGAAACAAAAGATGGACAGCAGGATTTTCCAGCACGCCTGCTAGCAACAACTGCAAATTTAGTAGGTATGAATAATAATCAATAAACAGAGTATCCGGCTTAACCTAGACAGGAAATTACCTTATATAAAAAAACTGACCTGTTACTATATATAATATTCAAATTTAATTATATATTTATGTCTACATTTAAATGAGTGTAAGGCTTCAAAAACAAATTTTCATATGGAATAAGAGTGGCAAACGAACACGCAGTCCACTTGGTGGTAAGTAGACGCTGTGACCCATGTGTAAACACCTGCATCACTGCTTGATTACTAATCAAAATGTAGATGCGTTGTTACCACTGAGGACTAAGATGAAATGCCCCGTTTCCAGTAATAAGGGTCTCCGGTTCTACACTTATCATACGAAACACAACAGCATTGAGTTACTTTTTGACGCTGGTATTCTCTGAAAGAGTTGCCCTTCCCCGGTCGAGCCAACCCATTCGTGCTGCAACCTTGATATAGTTTCAGTATGGCTTTACCACAACAAGATTTCTTCTATTATGGTCAAGCAGTGGAAGCGATTTCTAGCGATTTAAGTTCGCTAAAGAGATTTACATTCTATAACCATTATAATTTTTTTTGCCAGATCATCATCATTATCAGGCAGTAAATAGTTAACCGTTATACTTCCCTCTCCGACCACTTTCTAGAGGACTTATCTTTGATATCAAGCTTGATGTCGCGATCTTATTGCTTAGTTATATATTACTGGTGTAAAAAAAATAATCACATACAAAACTTTATTTCTCATAAACAAATATATTGTCGATAAAGTATACACGCAGCCCTTAGCATAAATTTTTAACACTTTTTGTATCGTCTTCGGCTAAAATTGTATGACTCTGAAAATAAAGTTGGTCGTCACGAGACGCCCGGCAGATGTGAAACATCATAGTTAAAACTACTTTTACGGATTTTATCGCGTTTATTTTTACTTTTTATTTTTAATTCCCGACGTTTCGGGCGCTTTCCAGCACCCATGGTCACGGGGGACTGAGATGACTGACGTCCCGATGTCATTGTTAAACCCGGAGTACCTTCAGCTTTTTTAATTATTGTTTATGGTCCGATCTATGCAAAATGAACTGACTATGTCCTGAGGTCTTGCAGTGGTATGCTTGGGTTTAGTTTTAATCTTATTGATTATAGGATCCCAAGCAGGTGGTAGTACCCAGCCTCCTTCTCTATTGAAATTAGGATGTTTTTTAATTTCAATAGCCTCACGTATCATCCTTGGTAGGAATCGGTGTTCTTTCGCGAGGATTTGTGGTCTATCAAATCTGATGTAATGGTTGGGGCCGTCTAGGATATGATCACAAACTGCAGACTTCCCGGAACGTTGATGCTTCACATCAGCATTAAAAATAAAAAGTAAAAATAAACGCGATAAAATCCGTAAAAGTAGTTTTAATCATGTGCAATGTTCGCGTAAATATAAGAAATCATTACATCATAGTTAATAAAATTTATAAGTAATGAGAACTAATTAGCAAATAAATAAAAAATGAAAGGCACACGCAGTACACAACTCGCACAGAGAAGCAACGAAGTGTATATTGTACGCACATGCGAGAGACTCGTATGTAGTGTACGCGCACGCACATGCAAGAGACTCGTATGTAGTGTACGCGCACGCACATGCAAGAGACTCGTATGTAGTGTACGCGCACGCACATGCAAAAGACTCGTATGTAGTGTACGCGCACGCACATGCAAGAGACTCGTATGTAGTGTACGCGCACGCACATGCAAGAGACTCGTATGTAGTGTACGCGCACGCACATGCAAGAGACTCGTATGTAGTGTACGCGCACGCACATGCGAGAGACTCGTATGTAGTGTACGCGCACGCACATGCGAGAGACTCGTATGTAGTGTACGCGCACGCACATGCGAGAGACTCGTATGTAGTGTACGCGCACGCACATGCAAGAGACTCGTATGTAGTGTACGCGCACGCACATGCAAGGGAGTCGATAGCGATGGCGTATAGGGGGCATGACTAAGACTAAAAAGGCGTAAGAGAGCGTCATGCCGTTTTCCGTCACGGCATTTGAGTCGGTTTTGTTGGCAAAGCGCGCAAATAGAGGTTTCACATTAAAATAGAAAAGGGCCCTCTGACGGACGTAAATGGAACTATGCTTTGTGATACAAAGTCCCTCGATTGCGAAACAAATTCGATGGAATAAAAATTCATGCTCAGGGGGGAAGTACATCCACTGCGCCAAAGAAACGACATTAAACACGACTTAACTCAAATTATAATAGAACTTGATCGTTTATTTTAAAACGCCCACACAGACACTATATTAATATTAAGAAAATGAACTATCCTACTTTACTATCCACATTCATTTTAGCACCAATCATCATATCATAAAAAATTTGGTAATATTACAAGGACAAAAATCCATGAAAGTTTCATGAATTTTTCTCCTTCTTGAATATTGTGCAAAATAAATGTCAGTACCATTGAAATAGTATGTAGATACTACGTACTAGAAAAGACACCGAGACCACAGAATAAATAAGATGGTTATTTTTGCAACACGCGTTAGACAAAGAATTCTAAAGAGACCGAAACATGTGAATATCTGAGGGTGCAAGGTCAGGACTATATAGTGGATGCATTAACACTTCCCAAGCAAGCCCTCTCAATTTTGCTGAGTGGCCAAAAATGTGTGTGGTCTGGCGTTATCATGATGAAAGACCACTCTTTTTTTTTGATGATCAAATCCGGTCGTTTATTCTCAATCTTTTGCTTGAGTCTCATTAGTTGCTGCCGGTAGAGATCCGTATCAATGGTTTTGCCCGGCGGTAAAAGCTTATAGTAAACGATGCCCTACCAATCCCACCATACACACGGCATCACCTTAATGCGTGTTAATCTGGGTTTGGCTACAGTCTGTGGAGCTTGTCGACCCTTTGACCATGCTCTTTTTCGCACATTCTTGTCATAGGTGATTCACTTTTCATCACCAGTGATCAATCTTTTCAAAAATGGCTTGGTTTCATTACGTTGCAATAGAGAAACGCATATTAGTACACGATTCATTAACTTTCTTTCAGTGAGCTTGTGTGGTACCTAAATATCGAGCTTTTTTGTAAAACGAGACTTTTTCAAATGGGTCAAAACTGTTTTGTGTTGTGTGATGCAATCCTCAATTCCTCGGATATGTCGTTACTACTAATATGCCGATCTAGCTCCACTTTTCAAAAATAGGATCGGCTTTATCCGTATGAGGGCAACCAGAGCGAGCTGCATCTTTGACATCAAAATTCCTGGACTGAAAACGCTTGAACCAGCTTTGTGCTACTCTTACTGATTGCATTAGCTCCATAAACGTCAAAAAAAATTTCGCGACTTTTTCCTTTTTTTGTAATAAAACTTCAGAATGTATCGAATTTCTTCGTTAGATTCACTCATTTTGGCGGACAAAAAAACAATTGAAGAATAGCTTGAAACGTAGACAGAGAAACCTATAGACTAATGATTAGCGTGGCCTAGAGTGAGAAAGTACGATAACGTAGTTTTAGGTTATACAATAATTTTTGACTTTTAAACATATTTAGATAAAATTTTAACTGTTCTAAGATTTGAACTGAACAAGATTCACCAATCTTAAGCTCACAAAACACTTTTTTCTCACTTAAACCAACTTGTAAACTCCTTAGATCGCTACAAACTGTCAAATTTGTTTAGCAAAGTGTAGTTTGCTAAACAAAAAAACCGGCACGGAGAAAGGGACAAACAATCACACCGCTCTGTCTCATTTATATACAAGACGTATGCATAAATCTATCTTTTTCATGTGCGAAGACGAAAGAATGAGTCAATTTGTCTATAGT